AAAACACTACTAGTTTAGGAAACTACATGAACATTTATATTTTAAATTGTTATATATTGTGGCTCAGTAACTAAATAACACAGCAGAAAATAATACCCAGCAGACACACAACATCATAAGACATATGGATTTAGGTCAACAGCTTTTAAGGACAATGTTATTTTGAAGTTCAATAATGACATGAAATAAAGTTGATATTTGGTTGATTTTAGTTTGTGTTGGAAAGTGACCAAAATCTAACGTTGAGCCAACATCTTAAACCAACGTCATATAGATGATAAATACTGACATTTATTTATCAGGTATGGCAACCAAAATCCAATGTCTGATAAACGTCATAGTGTAAAACATCCACACAACGTCAAGGTGTAATAAGATTAGATGTTGATATTTTGTTGTATTTAGGTTGTGTTAGAAAGTAAGCAAAATGCATGTTTGTCCAATGTTGGAAATTGATGTTGGCCTGACATTGGTTCTGATGTCAACTCGATTTTCATTTTCAATCAAAATGCAACGTCCCACGACGTTGGGGTACAATCTGATGTCATGTTGATGTCCTGTGCCTGCTGGGTAATAACAAAAACAAACAATAGTCCATTTCTTTTTGGACTTAAAAAGAAGTGACATTTAAACAAAAGTAATAATTTTACACTGAAAATAAATACAAATAAAAACCAATTAAAAATATTTGTTTAATACAAATCTAAGCTACATATTAGCAAAGTATTTCCTCTTTTAAAAATGTAGTCAAAGGCTGCTGAACCTCTGTTTGAAAGGCACTTTAAATCAACTATTACAAAATTATTTGGTATTTTCATTTCACAAAGTACTAATCTGATCGATCTATTCGTCATGTGATTTGTGGTGTGCTTGCAGTATTCTTAAAAATGTAAATGTTTTCAACTAGGCGTGCCTGGAAAGTGCAAGCATGTCGCTCCGCATGCATTGAAAAAAAATGAACTTGTGCATGCAAAAGAAACTCATTATATGTTGTGTATTGTTGAAGCAGTTTTGTTCCATCGCGTGTTTATGTAAAGATGCCTTTACGATTATTAACCCATGATGAATTAAAGCGCGGTTAATAGTGAAGTTGGTTAATCGTTGCATCCCTATAAACTTCACACAGTTGTAAACATTAAAAATATAAACATAATTCAAATTACTAATGTTTGCGGTAGATTTACTGGTTTGTGCTCTATTATTTAAAAATACAATCACACCAAGCCATTTTGTGCTTATGTTATAATATGATTACTCCACTTGATTAATATACGCTTCCGCAGGTCAACCTTTTGGAAGACCTAATATGAACAAATTAGTAGATTGCATTGGTAAGTATGAAAATGAGCTGCTCCATATTTGTTTTTTATTAGTGCATTAATACATAATTTGCGTAACTTTCAACTCTTGTCTGCACTTAAATCGAATCACACTCTACATAAATTTTCCCTGCTTTCTAATATCATCAGATCTCTCATCACAGCACAGATCTTGGGTACTTTTTTTGACCAAACAGGTCAATTCATTGTTCTGTCACCAATTTACCCTTCATCAAAAACAGAATTGCAAGACAATGGAGCTTATGGAGTAAATTAAAAACACTGGGTTTGCTTAAAGGGATGGTTCATTCAAAACAAAATTAATGTCATCATTTTGTTACCTTCAGGTTGATTCAAATTCCAATAAATGCATTTGTCCTGCTGAACACATAAGAAGGTATTTGAAAGGAAGTCAGTAACCAAACAGATCTCGCCACTCATTCACTGCTCCGATACTGGGGGAGCAAATCAGTGTCGAGATGTGTTTTATTTATGACAATTTCCCAAATTACTTCCTTTGTGTTCAGCATAACAAAACAAAAATCTATATTGGCTTTGGAAAAACCTGTGGGTAAGTTAATAATGGACACATTTGTATTATTTTTGGTTAAACTATTCTTTTAAGTAGCTGGAGTGCACATGAATACAGAAACCCCAAAGTCTACCACCTCTCAATCAATACCACATGACTTATAGGGAATATTGAGTTATTCAAGCAGGCACAAACCAGCACAGACTCGGTTTTGAATGTTTACTACACACCGGGTGTGTCCCACAAAAAGGGCAAATAAAGAAAAGAGCAATAGGGGCCAAAGGACTTCCAATCATGCTTTTATGAGACGGGAAAGCCACAAAGCGGGCGGAAAGTAAAACAGCCAAGGCAGGGATGGAGTGGCCTGGCACGCGATATGGAAGTCATCACAAGAGAAGTCTTGCATCCTGCTGTTGTGTAGTGACATGATCTTCTATGATCCCTTCAGTATGTTAGGGTGGAGCCGTCTGCTTCTACTTACCCACCCAGACAAGGCAACAACAAACAGAAAGAGCGAGAGAATGAGGAGGGGTTTAAAAGAAAGTAAGAATATGAGTTACAGCTATGCTTTTCCCTGGACAGACTTAATGAGGTGGAGGCCCCTAACAAGCAAGAAGAAATGAGTTGGGTGAGAACACTGAGAGTTTGTAGCACATAAAAGGCCCGATGCCTAGGGGCTGCATTGGAATACCAGGCTACATGCCACACACATACACAAACACATACGCTAACACTGGCTCTTTATGGGGTGTATCTGTAAATACTAGGATATTATGCTATTGCGCCACTGCTTGGAACCCACCACTCTTCTTACATAACCTACCACTGATATACACGCAGAAAAACAGATGAATGGCCTTAACAGCTTGTCTTCTTTGGAAATTTTCACTAGTAGCCATTGGGTTCCCCTGAGTGCTTCCATTCTTCTTGAAATTCTGAAGTCAATTACGTCAGACTGATTCAAGCCTCATTTGTCATAGTGAAACACAGGAAAGTTATCAAGTTTGCTATTAGGAGGCCCCATCCGGTCCTGCTGAGGTTGCAGCAGGTCCCTATTCAGTGAGTCAGCGCAAAATGATGGTAAATCCTCTTGAACTAGCCAAGAGTAAAGTTTTTAAGAGATTTTTATAAATGTTTATTTGGTTCAATATTATTTTGGATGCCAAACTGCAAAAAAATTATTTTCTTAGATTTTTTGTCTTGTTTCTAGTCTAAAACTCACTTAATATTGGCATATTATTTCTTAAAACAAGACAATAGGTTTTGCTTGTCTAAAAATTCTTCTTGGTTTAAGAATTTTTAGATATTTGGACTAGAAACAAGACAAAAACTCCAAGTAAGAAAATATTTTTTTGCAGTGCAATTATTTTAATTATAGGAACAATTACAAATTAAATCATGTTTTGTGTTCGTCTAAAGTTAGGATATGCGGAAAAGTACACTCACTATTAAAAATACTCTTTTAAAGGTTCTTTATCAAGATCTATGGTAATGCTTTTCATACCAAGTTCTTTTAAGAACTGCTCCTTGATAAATTCTTTGTGGAACCCAGAATGGATCTTACATGGCTGCATATCCCCATGTGTTTTGGATTTTTATTTTTTTTAAGATTCCCGCTTTTTGTGGTTCCTAGAAGAATCCTCAACATCACTCTCCTAATAAAAAATCTTTGACATCCATGGTTCTTCACACTAAGAACTAAAACAAATTGTTTCCTTTAAGAACACTTTACTGGAATGTTACTTGGGGAACTTGTAATGCATTGCCACAAATGCCAAACTGGCCCCTGCACAAAGGTTCTTTAAATTTTCTATACATTAAGATGAAGGTGTTTTACAAACCATTACTTCAGTAACCAAAAATGAATATTTCTATGTACAATTCTGTCTGTTTTCTGAGAAAACTTCTTTTGGCATCTATAAAGCGTAAAACACACTTAGTTTTAGGTTAACAACAAAATATGGACATTAAAACAGTTAAAAAAAAAACAAATACATCCTGTGAATTTGACTGCACTTGGTGTTGTAAATGTTGCTGAAGGCTGCTATACTCACTCTCTGCGGTCTGTAGGCATCCACGGCCAGCATCAGTCTGACATACAGGAGAAGCAACATGTGAAGTCCAGCACATTTCTGTTTCTTCATCCTGCTACTTACTCTCCAGGGTACCGTCCAGCGATTGAGCAGTGAGGGAGGCCAGTCTGTGTATACACTCGCGCACGCTCACAAATCACGTAGCAGGTTTCTCACACAGGACCACACAGGCACACCAATAGAGACCTGTCAAGGCGAACTTTTCGGAGCCAAATGGGCTCTTTTAAAAAAAGGAGGAGAAAGAGAGAGTCATTCTTGAGAATTTCTCAGTTTCTTCCTTCAGTATTTTGTTTTGTTTCTCTTTGATCAGGACAAACCCTTGATGCTGTCATCTGTCTTGGACCGGCCAAATTTGGCCCACCTTCTCCACAGATCCAACCGTGTCACACTCTATGAGTGTTTGCAAAATCCGGCACAGGCTTACATCCAGTGTTCTCTATCCGCCAGTGCGTGCAAGGCCGTCTGGAAAGCGTGCATGTCTATCCCGTTGTTGTGTGCTCCAGTCCCACTCTACTGTCACCACGTTTCCTGCTTGCTGACTTCCAGGCTCAGTTGCTCACACACATGAACATGTGGTTTTAAATGTGATCCAGACCTCAACAGAGGGCAAGGAGGGGGAGGACGAGGAGGAGGGAAGGGGGAACAGAGGAGAGAGAGAGTGCGAAGAGAAGAGAGACTGAATCCGGCCAATATCCTACTTAAATGCAGCAAAGTGGCGGGATGAAAAAAAGAGGGGAGCTAAGCCGACATGCCCTTTCTCTCCTTCCCTATATGTGTGCGCCAACAATGAGGCTGTAATACGAGTCGGGAATTAGAGGGAGCTTTAATGCAGCGTAATGGGTTGTGAGTGCCGTTCTCTTTGCACCCACACTCTATCGGACCATCTGAATGCTTTTACTTTAAAAGCTTCAGAGAAATCTATTATCAGCAGTCAAAAGAATCCACTACCCGATTGTTTGTGGTGATTCCGAACACGGTCACTTTTATGAAATTGTGTGGTCAAATGCTGATCAAAACTCCTTGAGGTTGATGTGAAAAAAGAAAACTTGACACCGATTTTAGGTAAGAAAATCATGTTGTGATCAGATACAGAGACATAGTACAAACCAAAAACAGAAATAGTACATAGGAAAGTCACACACATTTTAAGCAATACATCAGAATAAATGGCCTATGTAATGGTCAGCAATATTTTGAGTAACATTCCACATATAAAGCATATTTTGGACCCTTAAGTTACACATAAAATATATCAGTGTCATTGTATTATATGCAGTCATCAACAAATTCAATTGACTTTACCCACTGAGCCCTGAGATGATTTAAGCTGATGTATGAAAGTGTCCTTGAGCACAATATCTATTAATAAACATACTAGAAAGACGACTAATACTTTATTTAAAATTTCAGTACATACTATCTTGCTTTAAAATAAATGTCAGTTGTACAATTTAAATATCCTAATGCAGGGGTCACCAATCTCGTTCCTGGAGGTCTGGTGCCCTGCAGGGTTTAGCTCCAACTTGCCTCGACACACCTGCCTGGGTGTTTCAAGTATACCTAGTAAGACCTTGATTCGCTTGTTCAGGTGTGTTTGATTAGGGTTGGAGCTAAAATCTCCAGGACACCAGACCACCAGGAACAAGTTTAGTGATCCCTGGCCTAATGTATGTTCGGAGCTGCTGAAGCTGAAGGTAAAGGCACCAAAGTAGATATATTCCCTCAGAGAAGGATCTTGAAGACACTTTAAAACTGTTGACCAATCTTTGATCGCCAGACTTTTGCTCTCTCAAATCCATTAGTGGCTGATCTGTAGTCTGAGATGGTCTTGTCAATCTCTTCTTGTGTGTTCATGACAAAGGGCCCTGAAACAAACAAGTAATTAAAAAATTAAAATTGTATGAAGATAACAATATGACAACAAAGGTTACCGTTTGTTAATCACACCACTGGTTGTGAAGCGCTTTGGGTGTATGGCCATATTCAATAAATGCGCTGTATAAATATACATTACATTACATTGAACATATGTTATTGTTGATTTAGTACAATGATAAATTAGTTACAGGTAAAAAAGGACGATAAATTGTTTATGCACAGGATGAGAAGTTCAGTTACATAAAAGGCAACAGCACATATTTACAGTTTGACCGCATGTTTTTTCTCTAAGATATTGTCTGTGTTTTGCTTGACTGTGTTTTTGTTCAGAATCCATCATGACAACTCACATATGCCTCTATGTACATCTACTGTGCGTTTTTCAGCAAAAAAATAAATAAAAAATGCTCCATCCATATTATCTACATAATTATAGTTGTCTTTTAAAAGTATAATAGGTTTCTGTTTTCATTTGCTCTTCAAACGGATCAAGGCTACTTTGTCCATTCTTAAAGTCAAGTTTTGCAAGTTTGATGATTAATGCCTGTCTAATGGATTTCTGTCTAAACATGTCACCCCCAATGTGTGATATGTTGGTTTTCCTTGAAGTGATGTAGCACTTGAGCGTTATTAATGCTCTCTATATGAAGAATACAGACGATATTCAGGCCACAGAGAGAAAAATGTTTCCCTGAAAAATGCTAAATGTATCATTACATGACACTGTTTTCAATTTAAAATTGAAGACTGCATACATTTTCAACTGTTAAATGTGTGCAGACTTGCCAACTACTAGTCATCCATGCGAGATACAGCTTTTTTTTTTTTTTTTTGATCATTTAGTTCTGTGGCAACAATTTCAATGAACCCTTTTCACATTTTTAGGTTTCTCAGCAGCAGATGGGTCATAGTTGGGTAAACCTAGAGCGTAGTGAATGGGATTTGTTTTGCATTCCTATTTGCTCAAATGCAAAAAAAAAAATAATAATAATAATAATAATAAATAAAAAGTCAATGATAGTGGTATCAAGACTTTAAGAAAATTGTGATATTGGTAACAGTAGCCAGAAGAAAACAATGTCAAATTTATATTTTATGATTCTATTTTTACTCATTTATTTTGGTGTGATCTTTTTTTTTTTTTTTTTTTTTTTTGCAGAGTACGAATGTTGAATTGAAGTTGAAAGACAGGAACACGGTTGACTTCAAAATTTGGTATATTGTTAATTTGCTCATTATATATAAAAATCGTTTCATTCATAATCATAAATGTAAATTTTCAGTAAAAAAAAATCTAATTTAACTTCCTTTAAAATAGAAATGCCATTACCTGTGTACGATAAAAATAAATAAATACCAAAGCATAAAACTGTTAATTATTTTAAAGACTTAAATCTTCTCTTTAAATAATTGTCATTTTTTTATTGTGTTTATTTTGATGTCATTTTAATGTTATGTTATAGCCCTTTTATGTTCTGCAGTATAAAATAGCAATAAAATAAAATAATAAAACGTCAAATTTACTGTCCTACCCATAGACGCTGCATTAGAAATGCCTGACATAAGTGTTAATAATTTTTTTTGTAATATGATGCAAAGATTATATAATACAAAGTATAGCTTTATAAATGTACATACATTTTTAAACAAATGAAAAATTCTAAATTTTCAATGATTTAAGATGCCGATGACTGCTAAATGTGTCATAACCGTCTTGTGAAAAGTGTCCATTTTTCAATTTCCATTTTTAGCACACTGTTGTCATGCAAATGTTTCCTAACTTGATTAAAAATATACAGGGTACATACATTTCAGCAAATACTGATACATTCAAATAATTAAATTCGATTAACAAATGAGCAAATTAATTTATTTACCATTTAAAATTGACACAAACCCCCTTATTCAAGCATTTGGAAATAAAAAGCATTATATTACCAACAACAAATATTATTTTAACTTACCATGCTGAACTACAGGCTCATTAATGGGTTCGCCAGCAATTAACACAAAGTGAGAGTCCTCAGCAGCCTGGAAATAATCATGGAAAAATATAATTGATTTACACTAAAACTAAATTGGTACGATAACCAGAGTAAATTTGGAGGAAATGTTGAACAAAAACCTTGTTTTCCATTCTGACGCAGTCACCACCTTCCAAAACCACCGTGTGGTGTGGCTCTATTGTCCGCAAATCATTGTCTGGGCCTAAGGGAATTGAAATAAAAATAAGTTTCCAGCCAAAATGATTTCACAACCCTATACAAATTATACACTATAGATCATTTTACATAACTAAACTTGGCTAATAACTTGAGGTTGACTCATGGTTGTTGAAGACAAGATACCTTACACACCAGAATAAATGTCAGCAAGGAGATGTTTTGTAAAGCAAAGATGGTCCTAGATCTTATCCCACCCACTCACTTAAGATAATTTCTCAAGATGTCAGTTTCACAACAGCTGCTCCATTTATGCTAATTGTATTTCAGAGAACAATGAAAGTCAAAACTCTTTTGAAGTCACAGGTGGATTATATACCGTTTAATGAATGCATGCTTAATTTCCTACAACCTGGAAATCATCAACATCAATCTGATAAATCAACATATCAAACACTGCTTTGGCAATCTCATTTCTCAATGTGAGAGTTTAGAGTTGCCATTGGCACAAGATCATACGAATAGTCTGAATGTCTGTCAGATGTCCGAGAGAGAGGAAGTGAAAAATAATCAGAGAGCACCTGCTCGAATATCAAGGACATAAAGCTGCTATGGTAGTGCATTCGCCCAGGAGGACAAAGTTTCTTTTTATACTGTCTTCATTTGAACTCACCAGTGCATAAAGAACCTGCGAGGGTGTAGATGAAAGCTGTCCAACCTGAGAAAGCAATGCTACAATTAAAAACAATGCAAAAACAGTTACATAATAGCAATAATTGTAGGCTTAATAGATCCAAGGTTGACCACTTTTTGACATGTGGCATCAATTTACTATAGTACTTTTAATCAATTTTCTAGTCTTGACAAAACACATATTGGAAAGGTTTCAAATTCTGAAAAAAAAGTATTATTGTAACCGAATTTGATTGGTTACAGAATGCATAAAAATTCATTCATTCATTCATTTTCTTGTCGGCTTAGTCCCTTTATTAATCCGGGGTCGCCACAGCGGAATGAACCGCCAACTTATCCAGCAAGTTTTTACGCAGCGGATGCTCTTCCAGCTGCAACCGATCTCTGGGAAACATCAACACACAAATTCACACACGCTCGTACACGACGGACAATTTAGCCTACTTAATTCACCTGTACCACATGTCTTTGGACTGTGGGGGAAACCGGAGCAACCGGAGGAAACCCATGCGAAGGCAGGGAGAACATGCAAACTCCACACAGAAACGCCAACTGAGCCGAGGTTCGAACCAGCGATCTTCTTGCTGTGAGGCGACAGCACTACCTACTGCGCCACTGCCACGCCCCATAAAAATTCAGTGGAGTTTAAATAATATGTGGTGCATAATCAAAACCTCATAGTAAAATATTTATTAAATACTAGTTTTATATTAAATTGAAAATAAACGGACCAAACTTGTCTATTTTCATGAATTACAACCATTTCAGAGTTTGAGAGTCAAAAAATATATATTCAGGCAAAACAAAATATCCCAAGTTTCTTGATGACACATTGAAGTATAATAAAGTCAATCAATTTGAAAAAGAAATTAAAAATTATTTACTACCATTTTCTCATATAAGCTCATTCTAATGACTCATGGATGTAAACAAAACAGAAAAAAATACACTGGCAATTTTTCTTTTACAGCAGTCACTTAAGTGATGCTATGAGGCCATTTTCTGATGTACAACAACCTTAATAATGATGCCAAAAAGCTGCAGTGACTTTCGTCCATGCACTATATATAATAGGGCTGCACAATATATCGTTTCAGCATCAATATTGCAATATGTGCATCCGCAATAGTCACATCGCAAAGGTATGCCATGTCCAGTCTGAATTATAATTGACCAGAAGCTACGGAATTTTATTTAATCTCTGTATGGAAAAATAATCATAATGGAATTTATATGATTTTTGCACAAAATAAAAAAAAATTACTTATTTACTTAATTACTTATTACTAAAAGTCCTTATATCTACATTTCAAAGTAAAAACAAGATTATTTCATTTATCCCACTGGCAGATAATTTCCTTGAATCAAGCAAAAATAATAATAATAATAATAATTTTCACTTCTGATGGTGAAAACTTAACAATATTTTTACTTGGTCTAAGATTTTTTCAAAAATATTTAGACTTAAAAGATAAAACAAAATAAGAAAAGCATTGTTTGCATTGTGATTATTCAATTTCTGTACCCGAATACTGTTCGACTCTCCAGAAAACTGTAGACCATGCTCAAAGCATCTTCTGACACTGTATTTTGCGATTTTGTATATTGTATACTTTTTCTGCAATAATTATTGCAATACTACAATATTTATCATACAAAAAAAAAAAAAACTGCAATATTTTTTCAATATTGGGCAGCCCTAATATACAAGCACAATTCATGGGCACTGAATGAGTCATATTGTTCACATTAAATTAGGATTATTTACTTACCATTTAGTTTTAGTATGATGAGCCAAAAGAGGAGACAATAGCTACATTTCCATCCACCTAATTTTTTGCGCATATCCAAAAAAAAAAAATCGTTTGATGGAAACACCAAGAGGCGCATAAAGAAAAATAAGAAAAATATATGCGCATAACTGAGTAGGATAAACTTTTTATTCGCTAAGAAAAGAGGCACATAGACTACAATTAAATACTTTTATCAAACAAATTCCAGTATGTGCATTAAAAAAGGGTCATGTGATTTTGCTGTAAGAGATTATGTGATGATAAAAATGTCTGTGAAAGGACAAACCAGCAGGCTGAACACACAGTAAAACATCTGAAATGTTGTTTTGGTCATTCTAAAATGCCTTAACTATTTCAGTATTTGTGTTATTATGTTATTAATTGCCGCCAGAACTGTCAAGAGTGTCTGCGCAGCACGTCACACACCTTCAAACGCCACCACGCATCAATTGCATGTTGGCATTGTCTTCTGAGGTGCAAGAAATTTATTAAATAAGGAAAAGATTCATGCAGCTTCTCCTACCGCAGCAAATGCCATTTTTACTGTTGATATTATGCGCCAGTTAATCAGGAAGTGACGGTTTTGTTCTCTTTGATTTGTTGGATGGAAACGCTGCTTCATTTGCACATATTTTATGCAATAATCTTGTTTTGCGCATTAAGTTAATCACGTTTTTGGATGGAAACATAGCTAGTGTGACTCAATATATGACGCAAAGCTGTTTTATCCTAAATTTCTATTGGGAAATATTTTCAGTCATACATTTTTTTAAATGAAAACCAATATATTGGTCATTTCTAGGGAAAATGACCAATATAAATGACAAATGTGTGAGTCATTAAGTTTCACTTTGTCTGTAAGTAACTGGATTTATCAGAAAAACGCCTCTTCCCTAAAATGTGGGGAAAAACAAATATATTTAATAATCATTTTACCTTTTGGAACAGGCTGCATGTGTTTTGCATCTTTCTTCAGCAAAAAGTCAAGATACATGGTTGGAGTCCTCGTGTAAATCTTTGACTGAAATAGAAAATGCATGTAAATACCACAACATGATCTGGAAAAAATAACGCTTTACAGCAAAAGACTACTGTGACAGCAACATTTTATGTTCTTTACTCATAACATATCCATTTTATGAGATTACTGCTACAAGACAAAAAAACAAATGAAATTGTTGGATGTTGTTTAAATTATGAGCTCTAACAGATGTAAAAACATTGTGTGTGAGTTCCAGTGCAGATCTGGTTCCAGTAAGCCTAAGCATTTGGCTGACCCACATTTAACTTCAGCGCCGCATCCACCCCATCTGCCCTAGAGAAACCCTCCGTGACCACATTTTACATTTAAAACATTTTACAAAAACCACTTCCAATGAAGCCTGCTCCGAATTTCCTGCTGTTGTCTGAGAGGAGGGAGATAGGATGCCCTTGCAGCAGCAATTAGACACAACAGAGACTAGGATCAGATTGTAAATCGGACGTTATGATTGGCTGGAACATTTACAAAGCACTTGGACATTTGGATCAAATATAATAGCATCTCACCGTCACTTCAGGACTGTGTACTTTTGCTTTAAATCATAAAAGGGAATGACACAGACGGAAGCCTGAGAAATAACTTAAATATGCTGATAAACTTATGATTGACATATAAACACTTTGTAAACTTATAGATGATAAACAGATGCAAGTGTCAGGCACACAGAGGAGAGCAGAATTTTTTTTCCACTCACCGATTTGGTTCAGAGAGTTTAGAGTAATTACATAGAGCTTATGTTTTAAATCACCTGATAAACAAGCAGGCCTCTTGGCTGGCAAAATCCTCCATATTTCAGATTAATGCTTTAGTATATCTAAAAATGACAGCGACTGCTTCAACCTCCAGCTTTTTAAGCCAGTACACTACTTGTAAATCATATGTGGCTTAAGCATATTTATTAATGTTAAAAAGACTAATATGAATGAAAACTACTTTTTTGCAAAGAATTTCCATAACTTGTCGGTTGTTAATCATTACAGAATGGTGATTTAAAATTATATACATAATAATATATATAATTAGATCTATTCGCTTACCACTAATTCGGACCAATTTTGGTCACAGTTTTGACTGAAATTAATTAACTCCAATAAATAACTCACTAACAACTGACACTTCCAGCACAAGTACAACATTTAATGAGTTTTTTTATAATTTGGTGGAAATCAATTCTGTACAGGGCTGCATGAATCAGGATAAACTAAGAATCACATTTTGCTTGTTTGTTTAAAACGTAAATTAAGATTTTACCACATTCCAAACCATCAAAACAATATTAATATCTGACAATATCTTATTTATGGAGATCTAGGTAAAAAAAAAAAAAAAAACATTTACAAATGGTATGATTCAGTCAACACTTGTTTTATTACTGGATGAATAAGTATTATTGAATAAATCTATTAAATCTATTAGGTTTTCAGAGTTATAGACATAAGCCAGTGCTTCCTATACATAGACTTTACAGGCCGTCCAGATATATACATTTAGTGGCAACACATGAATAATACTATTATTAGCGTCCTTTTACAGTTTTTTGTATCCACTCAAGAAAGGCAAACATTTGCCATCGATTAACCAGTGGAAAATCTTCTCTCACTCTGTATGTTTCCTACTGTTGATTCTGTGTGTGCGAGAGCCACCAACACTCTCACAAACAATCTCACGTGTTCTGCAGACCCAGAGAGATGCATCTTATGCGCCAAAACGCGTCTAACTGTAGTTTCTGAATCTCCTAAAATGTCTGGGATTTAGGTTTTACTTTCGCTTTCTAAAGTTGCCGTTATTTGTATGCGTTTTTACATAACCTTTTTGCTGCTGACCGCATGTGCACAGAGAGTCGCGAGAGAAACATTAAATGATTATTCATTTAATAAATGACTCAGATAAACTTTACTATATACTCAGAGAGAACAAAATATACTGGCTGCAAAATAGTTGTACACCAATAGAAAAGGTGAATCAACTAATTTTCTAATAATCTACACTTTTTATTGTAGTAATTATTAAATAATTATTTATTTTAAAATAATGTTGAGGAATAATGTCTGTTTTATTCATTTTTTCAGTTATTTGTTTCTCATTTTCTGTATATTTTAATTTAAAGAATGTAATATATTGCATACAGTACTTTCTACATCTCTAATATACTTTGTCAATACTGTACTAAATGTCATGCCAATAAAGCAACTTTAGAGAGAGAGAAAGAGAGAGAGACAGAGCAACCTTTACCTGTCAGTGGGTGCACATGGCTTCTAAATAGCATAAAAAATAAGAGAAATTGTGGATTTCTTTTATTTCAAAAGCCTTTTTTAATAACTTTAACCCACTGAAAAGAAAAGGTGTACAAAAGTGTAATAATAAATACAAATATAGTAGTTTTGTTTGTCACATGTACAGTAGATTACCATTTATGTGTGTTTCAATCCGGCTACCCCTGCAAGTATATTTCAAACCTGTGGAAAGCACTGTAAGCTAACAAGCGTTAAACAAGATGACCATCTTTTAACAATAAAGCTCCACTGCATATGAGCAGTTTCTAATACCACATTAACACTAAAAACCCTACAATAGTAGCTTGTACTTAAAAACAAATACCTTTACTCCAAGAGCTTCACCAGAGATGACGGTCACAGTGACTCCATCTTTGCTAGGTTTAGGAATCTCCTTGCTCTTTAGCTCCTGGTACTGAGGCTCCACCATCTTATCTGTGCTTTTCAGATTTACCCAAAGCTGAAGACCATAAATGCGTCCATCCGACACAGGCATCTCAGCATGAATCACCCCACGACCTGCAGTCATCCACTAACACAACAGAAAGAGAACATTTATCGAAGTAAGAAAGGAAACAAATGATTTACTCTCCCAATTGCAAAACTAGGTTGAAGGAATCACACTGTTTAATGTTATCTTCGTGTTGTGCATACAAAACCCTTAGGAGCTTCGATTTCAGCTTTACAACAACAGATTAATATGCCTAATGGGGTATGTTTTGTTATCCTCTTCCTTTCTCCTTCTCTCTCAGTGGAAATTTCCACTCATACTGAAGTTTAGCATACTTTTAGGGGACCTATAGCCATGAACACTCAGAAGCTTTTCCCTAGTCTGTGCTCCTTGTATTATTAGGGAGTCCCCAAGTGTTTAATGGTGACACAGTTTCACCTCAGTAGCTGGAGGTTGGGTGTGAGATGTAGTTAAAGTAGTGAGGGCTACAGACATATTAAAGACCTATTAAAACATTCTGTGACTGACCAGGGAGAACGGCAGACAGCTTTACGACACAGGAAAACTCAAACTCAGGAAGTGCCCTACAGACATACTAGCTCCTAGTCCATTTGGCCAATGTGTGTGTGCTTGAATATAACTCCCTATTAAAACTAAATAGATTTCATTAAGGCTTTAATTGTAATTGTTTTGACATTTTAAAATGTTCAATCTATTTTTACAGCTTAGATTATGAAACAATAAGAATGGTGGCTTATACTTTAACAACACCAAATAATAGATATTTAGTCTATAACTTGGCTCACCCAAAAATTTTTATTGTCTCACTATTTGCACTCCCTTGTGTGGTTTTAATCCATTGCATTTCTCTTTTCTGTTGAACACAAAAGAAGATATTTTGAAAAATGCTGGTTGATAGTATCCAGAATATCAAACAGAATTCTTTAAAATATACTTTGTGTTCAACAGAAGAACTCAAATATCTTTTGAACAAGTGAAGGGTGAGTAAACGATGATGGAGGTTACATTTTAATCTAAACTATCCTTTTCAGTTTACATTCTAATCAGCAAAATTTATTGACATTTTGCAGGCAAAATAGTCCATAGTAAATGGGGTAATGATACATGATGCACAGTTCTTGCAGATGCCACATTTTTGTCATCACAGTGAATTTACATGACCAATTTGAATCCATTACAAATGTGTGCAAATTACTATTAAAATCACCTCTATACTGTATATGGTATTAATTAACATTGAGAGTGACATAAAGAAAACCCGATGTGTTCAAGAGTGAATGTCAACCCATCTGAAACTTTGTGGATAACTGTTGAAATCATTGGATTTCATCATACAAAAATGGTTGAATGACAATAAAACTGTACCTTGAGTAATGTTATGAAAAATGTTAAGCTTTTGTTAATTGGTAAAATGTGCTTTTTTAACATTTTTGGCCAAAATTTCCAATTGTATGTATTACAGCTAAAATTGCTGGGGTTTGTCCACAAATTTATTATTGTATGGATTACTTTTAAAATTACTGAGTTGTGCCCAGCAAAATTGGCACCTTAAAGGCACAGTATTCATGATTTTTTTTATTAAAATATCCAAAAGTACATACATTTAGATGCTATTTTTGAAGTGGAGATTGTCTTTATATGTGAATCTTTATATTTAGGTAATATAGATTTAGATGGATGAATTAATAAAGGCAGCAAACTGTTATTTATTCTTCTGGCAGCTATTAAAAAAGTAATTATACAAAATAAATAAATTAGAGTCACCTACAGTTGAAGAATGGATTGATAAAGTACACACTATATATGTCATGGGAAATCTATTTCTTTAGGAACACAAACTAAATACATTTTTCTTAATTGGAGTAAATGGATTTAGTATATTTCACCAATATTTTTCCTGAACTGTACCTTTTAAATGTAATATTATGCGATTAAATATATATCTTTTCTTCTTTAAAGGAAATCTTTTGAAGGATTTGTTGCTCGCCATGTTTTACTTATTTATAGTTGTTGTTGTTAAAGGGAAGTAAATACAAAGCATATGCAAAATCTTTAAGTCTCTTTCTGTATGAGAGATTATGCAAGTTATATATGTATTTTCTTTTGAAAACTAAAAAAAATTATATATATATATATATATATATATATATATATATATATATATATATATATATATATATATATATATATACTAATATGACTAATATTTAAATTATCCCAAATGTTTCAAAGAATGCTTAAATCTAGAATGCTATACTATAAACTATTTTAACTAGTGACATGCTTTTGCAATTGTTTGTTGTGAATATATGCCGTCTAGTGATGAAAAGTACATACAGTGTCTTTAAGCAATGTTTCAGCATTTCGAGACATTTTAGACAACCCTTTTTATCAGCACTGCAAATTTACTTAAGCAATCTTGAGTAAATATTTTGCGTTACTAATTAAATGACTGGATTTGTGCATAAATTCACCATAAAATTTTAAGAATAATCACACTTCAAGTGCTGCTTTAACTATTTCAAGAGATGTTATGCAGGTTTATGGATGTTCTACCTGAAGGTCTCCAGGTTCCAGCTTCCCGCTGTGACCACAGGAGTCTTCATGGGCCGTTACTCCACTCAACAAGTATGTTACCTGTGCAAAAAAGCAAATGGTTTTAACCATCCACAGTTTTACCAAAATGAAAACTCTCAGATGTAAAGTTTCAGTAGTCGAGTATGCAGGAGCTCCTTAGGGAAATATTGACGCAAAAGACAGTAAGTGTGGAAAAGTCATCAACTTTACTTTCATTTAGAGGAAAATAAACATGTCAGGAATTGTACAGGTGAAAGGTGAAACATATTTCAGGGCCTGTGTTTACAGAGTAGACACAAAAGGTTTATGTTCAAGGGACTTTGCTAATGTCCTGATGGACTATAAAGTTAAATGCACAAAACAGATTTAGTTTATCATATGAATGTTAGTAACTGATAATCATTTGACATAACTATTGAAACGCTACAGTACACAATACCAAAAGATATAAATAAACATTTTTATATAAATGTCTCATAAATTTATTAATGCAGCATCAAAAACATAGTTCTGCCAAAACGGAGCTTGAGGCTTAAAGTTCTCCTAAAACTGAAAATCCTCTCATCATTAACTCACCCTTTACTTGTTTCAAACCTTTTTTCAAGTTTCTTTTTTCTGTTGAACACAAAAGAAGATAATTTAAAGAAAGCTGGAAACCTTCAACCATGGTGTTTGTTTTTCCTACTATGGATGTCAATGGTTACAGGTTTTCAGCTTTCTTCAAAATATCTCAGAAACATTTGTAACCACTTGAGGGTGAATGAATTTAAATTAGGTGACCTTTACTACTATGTACTTGCATCAGAAAATGAATACAATGTTTTTACTGTGTATTTAAGTAGAACACAGAACACTTCTGGTGCTTTTGAGATGGGATACAGGTAGGGTTAGGGACGGGTTTGGTGGTATAGGGAGGTTTTAAGGTGTATGGGATGGTCCCCAGATCATGAAAAAAATTACAAAAGCATGAACATAATTTTTAATTTGGTGCTCAGCCAAAATGCAAAAAGTGCTAAATATATATTCAAAAAGGCGGCAACACCAAAGCTCCAAAAATTAAAATGTATTCAATTTAAAAATGCTGACACAAAGCGTGTGATATTTTGAGCACACAGCTTTTCATCAGACTGGTCATTTGATTTTTAAATGTAATTACAGAAATTAATTACAGATATAATTACAAGTAAGTATTTAATAAATCTGATAAAGTACAATGTGTTAATAAATGTAATAAGTAAAAAGTAAAATGTGTATTTACACAATAAGTACATTGTAACAAATTACAATAAGTACATACTAGTTAAGGCTACTTAAAGGTGCAGTAATATCTTAGAAACACAGTGCCTCCTCTGCCATCCAAAGCAACACCTCCTAAAATCACAAACATGCACCTTAAATATGACAGAGACCCACTAGATCATGTCATTCGCCTGTTTGAAAACTTTATAGTACTTTATACAGAATAACTGTATTATATCTAGCACATTTTCTGTTGTGTAGCAAGCAAATCTTGTCATAATGTGCAATATTTCATGCATGCAAGGATCGCAGGTATCACTCTCTCATGCGCTTTGTCCTGTATGCTTAGTGCTTGACTGGTGGCATGCAGAATTACACTTATTACTAAACCATACATACATGCTATTTCAGACCCAATATACATACAGTAGTAGCATGGTAAACAATATAGGGAGTGTCACAGGTTGTCATTTTTCAAAAATGAACCAATATGAATATAAAACCAACGTTACCTCAGTAAAGCAGGCTAGGCGGAAAAGCGCTATTTACTGATGTTATGTTTTTAAACTAAATAAAGATCAACACAATTGATAATGTAAAGGGTTCCTTATGAAATTGAAAATTGAAATTAATCACATCGATCGGAAGATTTCAGTGGCTGACCAACACTTCTGTGCATTTAACCCATTCGTAACAACACAATCTACATCACATCTGCTTGACTAAAATAGTTTTAAAACATAACATTACCTGTCTAAAATAAATACTTCAGTCATGGTGTCATCTTTCCTCCAGCATGCAAAAGTAACTCCAACATTGATTAAGGATTTTAGCAAGTTTTGATTCAGCATTTGTTTTTACTGCTGGCAAATGGCTGATCTGCGTAAATAGCTGGCAGATGTACAAATCTACATTTGTTGACAGTTTGTGCTACTTAATAGAGTTATGGTAATTATCAGTCTGAAAAATTTTAATTGGACAAACTTTTTTTTGTCTTATGCCTTACCCAGAATATAAAAATACATATAAATACATTTAGATAATTTTACTTTAATCATTACTATTGGAATGTAAAGAGACTTTCAACCAGCACAACAAAAAATGTTTCTGAAAACAATGACCTACTGTTCATTTCATACAAAATGGGACCAAAAATATCCATTCTTTTATGAACTATGCCTTTAACACAGCAAGATTAGCTTTGCCAAACTGATTAAACACGTGCCTTCAGTGCAATGTAAGCTGCTTTGGATAAAAGTATAATAAATAAAAATGTAAATAATTGCTAATGTGTCAATCTAAAACTTGAACCAAAATGTTGTCAATTCACAAAAACTGTCAGCAGCCACGTAACATTTTCTGCAATAAAAAGCAAAAATGAATCTGAAATGGTGAAGTCAGATGGTCAGATATACAGAGTGGACATATTGCATGTAATCTCCCATCCAGAAAATGTTGCTCTCAGTGGGATGCAGGAGGCAGGGTACAAGGTCAGCGTTTGACTTTTGAGGTTTGCTTGACCCATGGCCACAGGCAGCCTGTGATCTTGAAGCACAGCTGTGATCTGAGGGTCACATGACCACTCACAGCAAGCACACCTGCATTTCTCAGGCAAAAGACGCTGATTCTGTCTGAATTTAACATCTAGAAAGTACATGTTCACACAGTCTCATTTTAATTTGTATCTATTCTGACCGAAGTCTGTTGTATATTGTTTGTGTGTTATACATCTCTGCATAACAAATTACCAGAGAGAGAATAAATGTTTCTTTTTTACAGGATTTGGCTTGAGAGTGCTCAGTTAATGAGTCAGTTTCCAGGCAAATCTCTCAATTATGCTTACAAATATTGGAAGAAAAATCCATTCATGAAAGAAGGTGACACACAGAGTGAGTCATTCTCTACAGAGTTTGAGATTAAAGTGCTGGCAAATGATGACTTCAAACCCATAAACAAGTCTTAATGATTTCCACAGTCGCACAGACCCACTTTCCATAGGGACGGTTTGTGCCAGAGACCTTGCCAAACTGTGAGTAAACAAATGGGTACATCAGATGTTGTAAATAAATAATCAAAGAGACGAACTCGGAGGCTAAGTGAGTTGATCAGCTTTTTTTCTAGTCAAGTTTCAGAAAATACTCTTGGGACTGGTTCTGGCCAAAACACTGTCATTTTGAAGGAAGCGTTTTTAATGACCGTGCATCCTGAAACACTGTGCGAACAGTACTTGAGGATTTACACTGCTAGAGATGATACTGGATACATACAGATTTCAATTTCTTTGTGGTGTACTATTGTGTCAAAGGGCTTCTTAAGAAAGAAAGAAAGAAAGAAAGAAAGAAAGAAAGAAAGAAAGAAAGAAAGAAAGAAAGAAAGAAAGGAAAAAAGAAAGAAAAAGGAAGGAAGAAAGGAAGAAACAAGGAAGGAAGAAAAAAGAAAGAAAGAAAGAAAGAAATAAAGAAAGAAAGAAAGAAAGAAAGAAAAAAGCAGGGAGGGAAAAGTAGGAAGAATGAAAGAAAGGAATGAAGGAAGGAAGGAAGGAAGGAAGAAAGAAAGAAAGAAGGAAGAAAAAAAGGAAGGAAGGAAGGCAGAAAGAAAGAAAGAAAGAAAGAAAGAAAGAAAGAAAGAAAGAAAGAAAGAAAGAAAGAAAGGAAAGAAAAAAGGAAGGAAGGAAGAAACAAGGAAGGAAGGAAAGAAAGAAAGAAAGAAAGCAGGGAGGGAAAAGTAGGAAGAACAAAAGAAAAGAAGGAAGGAAGGAAGAAAGAAAGGAACAAAGAAAGAAGGAAGAAAAAAAGGAAGGAAGGCAGAAAGAAAGAAAGAAAGAAAGAAAGAAAGGAAAGAAAAAAGGAAGGAAGGAAGAAACAAGGAAGGAAGGAAAGAAAGAAAGAAAGAAAGCAGGGAGGGAAAAGTAGGAAGAACAAAAGAAAAGAAGGAAGGAAGGAAGGAAGAAAGAAAGGAACAAAGAAAGAAGGAAGAAAAAAAGGAAGGAAGGCAGAAAGAAAGAAAAAAGGAAGGAAGGAAGAAACAAGGAAGGACGGAAGGAAAGAGAAAGAAAGAAAGAAAGAAAGAAAGAAAGAAAGAAAGAAAGAAAGAAAGAAAGAAAGAAAGAAAGAAAGAAAGAAAGAAAGAAAAAAAAGAAAGAAAGTACATGTTGGAAAAAAGTACTTTATTTGTGAGTTGAATTCACATAAACGCTACCATAAAGTCACCATAGGGCTGGGTTATTAATCGAAAAAGAATCTAAATCAATATTCAGAACTTACAATTGATCTAATTTTCTCAAATACTTTTCCTACTACGCATGGAGTCACATGACCCCGCTGAATCTGAGACTAATTAATACCTCAGTGGCCGCTTTGTAGCCACATCTGATCTCTGGTCAAGACCGATGGACTCATTCTTGAGCTTTACTTTGCACTACATTGACAATTTTATTTTATTTGAAAGAGATGCTGCTTATTTTTAACTTTTAATATGAAATACATTGCAATTTCATTGCAATTGCAAATGAATTTTATTAAACTATTAGAATGAATATATTTTATCAATAACCTACTGAAGAACATAATAGTAGATAATAGTTAATAACATGCTAATGATAAACATTACAAACAACATGCAAATAAAGAGCCATCAGCCTTTCGATTTTTTGCGACCCCTGGGGTGATTATATTAAAGACACAGCAATAGCATCAGATGCAGCACATAGATTTTATGGCACCAGGTTAAACTTTCTGACACATTTACGGCACTCATGTACATCAAAACAAATACAGGCCACAACTGAACATGGAGGATGGTCTCCGAGTGGAGTTCTTTAAAATTAAATGATATACAGACTTGGGCCTATTGGTATGTGTGCGCCATTATGTGCAAGGATTATGTATCTATAATCACCTCAGAGAACATTTGGGGTCACTAGACACTGGCATTGTTATTTTGGGTGTCACACGTTGAAAAGTTTGGGAACCCCTGTTCTAAACAAAATGACATAACTATCCATTGTGTTCAAGCAAAAACCTATTTGTGCATTGTTTGATGTCACAACATCATTTATCCATAGCTACTGTATAGTTATAATATGGTTATAACAGGTTAAATGCTTGCTAAAAGTGATTTTTTTGTGTTGTTTCAGTATTATATTAACAGATAAACATCATGAAAGCTAACATACACAAGAACCTAAAGACCGCCCTAAAACTTTGGCTAAATTTTTAAGAACCTGCGAGCCCTCTAGTGGACAAAGTTGTGTTAAATCTCTTTTTTGATGACACATTCTCCATTTTTTTCTTTTTTACCTTTTCCTGGTGTATTTTTAATTGAATTAAAGTTGAAGACGCTCAATGTCATTATTTAGGTGGAAAATGTAATATTTAATCAATCAGGCTGCTGTATTTTTATTGCAAAACAAGAACAATAGCGTACAAAAAAATTAGGGAATACAGTGCTTACAATTATTTTCACATCAAATGAACGAATCAATAGAGAACAAGAAAACAAAAATAAAGAAAATTACAGGGCATAAGTAAATTACAAGAAATTAGCAATAAAAAAAAATGATTACAATATTGCATACACCCTCATAGCTTTTTTATTTTTGTCCTTTAGGGTTTGGATATAATGCTTGATATCAAATTTAAATATATAAAAATACATGTAAGGTTCAGGATTGGACCATTTTTTGTGTACATGGTACTTCCCATATATAATCAAACTAATAAACAAATTTTGCTCCAAGAGTTTTATTATTATTATTATTGCATGTCAAAAAATATCTTTACAAGAAAACAGTTTTTAATATGGAAGTTTAAATATAAGATATTTAACATAAAACCAAAACATTTGGTTATGTGCATTCAAAAAACATTTTGTTATGTGCATTCATTCGAGGTGTTTCCTCCTCTAATTCACAAAAAGATTCCAAATGTCAAAAAAAATGTTTTATTCAGGCTGACCGTTCGTCAGGACAGAAAACGGTGTCATCACGCTCTACGCGTTACTTTTATCATCGATGTTATGGGAGAACCAATCACAGCAGTTGGTCATTTTAAGTTTAACTGTGAACAGGTCTTTTACTGTATGTCAGACAAATAAGGCGCCTAATTGTGTTATACAGTTAAACATTGACATGTACCAGTGTCTTCTTAAGACTAAAATTAATGTGTGCTGAGAATTGAATACTTCCAAATACGAAAATCGTTATATGAGCCACCATCCGCCCTCTGGCGGAACATAGGGTGTTTTCTTTCTAATTTTCAACAACAAACTATTTGTTAGCAATATTAGCACGCAATTCACTTCATTTAATTTTATCTGACTGCATCGATTTGACAACAAGTGTCGTCTTTTCCGTTCGCAGCAGTGTGGTGATTCATAATGTAAAATGTATCGAGCTTTGCTCCTGTCAAATAAAACTTACCGTCTCAAATCCACGGTGAGGATGATCAGGAAAGCCAGCTGGTTTGGCGATGCAGAATTCATCTAACATCAAGAACGGGTCTAGATTTTTTAGCTGGAAAACATAATTAATTTTGTGCTTTACAATTATGATGAATTTCAAAATAATAGTACAACAACAACAACATGCAATTCTGTAGTGATGCTAATATCAAAATAAAACGTACCTCTCTCCGTCCAATACTCCTGCGAACTCGAGCCCCGACTCCTTCGGACTGTTCGACGCTCAAAACCACCTTAGAAACTTTTCTGATCATCATAAACACCTACTGTATATATCTCCCTATCACAATAGCTAGCTCTCAGTTTGTGAGCGCCACCAATACACCCAGACTGATCAAGACGCTTATTTATACACAAATGCCCACTACACTATTATTCGCTGTTGTATATACAGTAGTTCATGCTACGACAGGTGTGTTTTTATACTGTGTTGACGTTTTGGGTTTGTCATGGCTTACTTCCTTTGCAGATGACATCTCTTCAGATTCGGATTATTTAAAGGCGCAGTGCATGTCACAATGACTATGCAATATTGTGAGCCACAAAAGAGTGACTGTGCATTTACATATGACATGTGAGGCTAAGAAAATGAGAGCCTTTTAAGAAAACTGGAGCATTTTATTAGTCATCTTCTGTCCTGAAGTGACATTTTAAAGCTGTTCTCAGCATTTCCTGTATGAATCATTCTCTTCCTTGAAGCTGTCAGCTTGACATAAGAGACTGTTGATCTGGTTCCTCCTCTCTCCTCAGGTGTATTACAGCCACATGAGACCATGCATGTGTGAAATGTACTCTTCAGTGCAGGTCTTCTCCATGCATGCTTTTTTACTCTCCTCTAGTCCACTGTTTTGAGCTATGAGGTCTTTGAAAATCCGTATACTTGCAGCTTGACCCCCTGCAAGGTTCACAGCATGTGGCCCAACCTGTGGATATTGCAAAACAATGGATCATAATGGGCTGAGGCATTCACTGTAGATCTGTAAATATAATACCATTTTTTATATCTTAAAGAACCAGGGGAGGACTCCGGGTATGGGGCCCTAGCATTAAAACTAAAAACATTCTCTTTCTCAATAGATTTTTTTTACTCTGTAGATTATTATAAATATTGTTATGATTATTATGATATATTTGAAGTCAAATTACCCCTCCCCCCTGAGTTAATAGCCCCCTTGTTTATTTATATCCCCAATTTTTGTTTAAGAGAGAACAAATTTTCTAAACATAATAGTTTTATTAACTCATCTCTAATAACTGATTTATTTGTAATTACAATGATTACAGTAAATAATATGTGACTGGATATTTTAGAAGACACTTTAAGTGACATTTAAAGGCTTAACTAGGTTATGTAGGTTTACTAGGCAGGTTAGGGTAATTAGGCAAGTTATTGTATAATGATGGTTTGTTCTGTAGACTTAAACATATATAACTTAAAAGAGCTAATACTTTTGTCCTTAAAAAGTTTTTTTCTAACAATAAAAAAACTGCTTTTATTCTAGCTGAAATAAAACAAGTAAGACTATAATATCAGTCTATCAATCAATCAATCAATCAATCAATCAATCTATCTATCTATCTATCTATCTATCTATCTATCTATCTATCTATCTATCTATCTATCTATCTATCTATCTATCTATCTATCTATCTATCTATCTATCTATATATATATATATATATATATATATATATATATATATAAAGTACAAAGAGATATTTAAATATACATTTTTATAATTTTATTTTTACCACAACCTTTATCCTCTTAATGTAAAATTGAATGCAATACATTCACAAATAAAACAAGTTCTAACTGACTAATTTGCAGCTATTTCAACTAAATTAGCCATTTAATTTACGATTAGTCCAACTTAATGAATTGAATAAATTTTCATTGTGCAATGTTATTTTATTTTAACAGACCCTACTACTCTTGACGGTTACATACAGATTTTACAACATATGATAGAACATTTATAAAAGAGTTGATTAATATAGGCTTTTTGGCATTTGTCAAGGCCCCTTAATCCCCTGGGGCCCTAAGAGGCTGCTTGCCTTGGTTATTGGTTAAGTCCGCCCCTGGTTTTAACCCCAACAGTCACATGAAATAGAGGATTAACAAGTACACACGTTTTGGTGCCTGTGTGGGCAATATGCACAGCTAGTGTTTTTCAGTCAAGGATAAACTTCTGGTGAAAGCTTAATGTGACTATTTTCAATTTCATAAGGTTCCTTTTACAGCACCCATGTTGTAATGTAATTACAATACATTCAGTTAAATTGACTTAAGCATTCATTCAGTTGTTCAAGCGTAAAACGAGATGAAAGACCATGTTAGCACTAACCCCATCAGGATCAGCAGGCAAGTGCAGATCTATTTTATAATGTAAAGACAGTTCACTGGAAGCGCAGAGGCTGGCAGCCTGAAATTAAAAGTCATTTAACTTTAATGGGTCATAAGCAAAACCTGTATGCTTGAGCATTCTGTCATTTTTTAATGGTTATATCTTGTAATGTGTCTTATTTTTGGTTTGTTTCGATGCCGTTGGTCCTTGTTGCATTACATTTTTTAGTTCAAATTCACCAGAGTTCAATCGGAAGAAGACTGAGAGCTCTGAAAAGATGATTCTATCTGCTTTCAAACTAATGATGATGCCACTGAAATATGGACATGCAACATGGATGTTTAACTCCTGCTGTGTTAGAATTCTTTACCCACTGTTCAACCTTCAGATAAATAATTATCCGCCTTCTCTAAACCACTAAAATAAAGCAGCCAAATTTAATTTTAATCTTTAAATCTATTTTGCTTGAGGAAACAACCTCATCTTCATCACAAACTATGTGAATGTCTAGATTTCTCTTATTAGTGTGGTGTTCTTCATCCGTGTTTAATCATTAATGACTAAAGTAAGAATGTTGCTTTAGCATTTTTGCTAATGCTAAAAGTAGCTGCATACTGTAAGTGTAAAAAGTTTGTAACAAAACCATAGTCATAAAAGTTAAAGTATCCGATTCTAATAGCGTTATAGCTGATGGGTCAAAACTGACCAAACGGACAACAGTTGTACCCTAAATGTGTACAGCCCTCATAAAAATATATAAAAAAAATTTTTTTCTAATGCTGCAGTCATTTTAGAAAAAAAATCACCAAATTTCAAGATGAAAAATATTGTTTACCTTTTTCTTCTGCTGAGCCCTGCAGGTAATTTTTGACCCTTATAGGTTAACAAAAGCATTAATTAAACTAAAACTGCGAACTGATGTGAAAAAATGTGAACACACCCTTAGTAGTATCTTAAGTCTTAAATGTGACATTGTGTTAGTGTGCTGAACAATAGTGAATCTCTCATTGATGACTCACAGTACCATGACTCACTTCTTTCACCTTATTTTACACTTGGTCATATTACATAAGCATAACATAACATAAAATCACCTGAAGTGCTGCATATTGTCCCATCAGATAGAGAGGGCATCCTGCTGTCCACTTCAGAGATTCTGTTATGCATGGCCAGCCCTCCAGGACCTGTCAAGCAGCAAAAGCTTTACTTTGTGCTGATTCATCAACTTAAAGTTGACTAATATACACATGCAAAATAATAAAAAAATGACACACATTTAAGAATAAAATGCATTTGAGCTTCTCAGGCAAGGGAATAAAACTATGAGTTGCATTTTAATGCTATACATTTTTCCGTGTCATATTTAATAAGCAATTATCAAAGACTTCTAAATTAACAATTGATTATTTATTATCAAAATATCTACAGCCTGTTAGTTTAAAATATACCATGAGTATTAAAAGACAAGGAATTATTTAATTGATTATGCCTACATTTTGTTAAAATATAATTTAGAGATGTACAATTTCTTAGTTACTGTTTCAAAAAACTATAGAACTTTTATTATAAAACTTAAGACATAAGTAGCGGGTCCTACACCATTCATCTCGCTCTGAGTTGGGATCGAACTGGCGACTTTCCTCATGGGAGTCGGTTGCTCTACCAAAGAGGCTAAAGACCATGGCCTCTAATGTCTGCTGCTAGAGTACCTTTTTTTTTAGGTCAGAGGAGTGAGGTTCACCTGCACAGCACTTCACTAGCTGGCCTCTGCTACACTCATTTTTTTTCTCTGCTACACTTACCCCCCAAAACTTTACTCACATCTGGTTCACAGCATCAATGTAACCCTCCGGTCCTACACAGTCCAACCCGCTCTGAGCTGGGATCGAATCGTCAACTTTCCACATGAGAGTCAGTTGCTCTACCAAGGAGGCTAAAGACCACACGTCTATCGCTAGAGCACCTTTAGAGGTCAGAGGAGTGAGTTTTACCGTAACAGCACTTCACTAGCTGGCCTCTGCTACACATTCATATTCCATAAAAATGTGATGTATCAAGTATCATACAAAACTATACAAATATGTTGTCTAATTTTATCTAATATCCAGTTGAAGGTATAGAGTTACTAGCCCCCTGTTTATTTTTTCCCCCAAATTCTTTTTAACAGAGAGAACAAATTTTCTAAACATAAAAGATTTAATAACTCATTAATAATAACTGAATTATTTTATCTTTGCCATGATGACAGAACATAATATTTTACTAGATATTTTAAGACACGGTGAAGCAGTGGTGCAGTAGGTAGTGCTTTTGCCTCACAGCAAGAAGGTCGCTGGTTCGAGCCTTGGCTCAGTTGGCGTTTCTGTGTGGAGTTTGCATGTTCCCTGTGTTTGCGTGGGTTTCCTCCGGGTGCTCCGCTTTCCCCCACAGTCCAAAGACATGCGGTACTGGTAAATTGGGTAAGCTAAATTGCCCGTAGTGTATGTGTGTGTGGATGTTTTCCCAGAGATGGGCTGGAAAGGCATCCGCTGGGTAAAAACTTGCTCGATAAGTTGGTGGTTCATTCTGCTGTGACGACCCCCGAAAGGGACTAAGCTGACAAGAAAATGAATGAATGAATTTTAAGACACTTCTATACAGCTTAAAGTGACATTTAACTAGGTTAATTAGGTTAACTAGGCAAGTTATTGTATAACAATGGTTTGTTCTGTTGCCTGTCAGAAAAAAATATATAGCAAAAAGGGGCTAATAATTTTGACCTTAAAATGAGTTGAAAAAATTAAAAACTGCTTTTAATTAGCTGAAATAAAACAAATAAGACTTTCTCCAGAAGAAAAATATATTATTTGACATACTGTAAAATTTCCTTGCTCTGTCAAACAGAATTTGAAAAATATTTTAAAGAAAAATAAGTCAAAGGGGGTTCAATAAATCTGATTTCAACTGTACATAATTTTTTTAAAGAAAATATTTACGGTAATGTATACAATGAGCCCGAGCTGGGTCAGTAGGCATTTCTGTGTGGAGTTTGCATGTTCTCGCAGTGTTCTCATGGGTTACCTCTGGGTGCTCTGATTTCCCCCACAGTCCAAAGACATGTACTGTAGGTGAATTTAAGTAAGCTAAATTGTTTGTAGTGTATTGTGTAGTGGGGGTTGAGTGTTGGGCTAACAACTCGCCTTATAAAAACTGGATGTTATGAAACACGAATGTGGTGCAACTAAATATCAACTTCGATATAAATGGCCCTGGGAGTAAGTAT